CAAAATCAGAGACGCTTTCCAAAGAAAGTCCGTGGTTTTTGCAAGCTGCCATGTAGCATTGCACCTCTACATGACAGACACCGCCCTGCAAAAAGCAATGCATCGCGTCCCATGTCAAAATGCTGATGGGCGGGAACTGCACGCGCACCTCAGCATCGAAAAGGAGGCCGCTGGGGTGAAACACGAGGCCGCATGCCTTTTGTAGGCTCTCCAAGTCTTTCGTTGTGGCTGTGCGTGCAGATTGAGCTACCTCGTCTGCGAGCCGCCACACGTCCGTGTCGGAGACAGAGCGGAATGGGCCTGTGCTGCAAATTGTCACAATGCCCGGGAGATCAAGATTGGCGCCCTTCTTGACCACATTCAGGCAAGCCTTGGGCAGGACAGCCGTGGCCACACACCAGAAAAGAAAACAAGAGATTTGTGTATATAGGCTTTGAAAAGATGTGCTAAAAATGGCTATATAAGAGCGAGAGAAGGAGCTACACATGGCTTGTATCCAGCAGCGCCTTTTGCTAGCAGCGTCGACTTGATGGCAGCCTCATCCGCGACAAAGTTCACGAACCGCACTCGGCCAGACCGATGACCGTAGGTAAATTCTGCGTTGTGAAGCCGACGCACGACCGCCCGGGTCACTTGCGACATGCGCGCGGGGATGGTCTTGAGTGTCTCTGAGCGAACGCAGGTCAACGGCACCCATAGATGCTCGTGCTGGAGGCAATGCCGCCAGTCTGCAAAGCTGAGGTAGACGGCAACGAAGCGCCGACGATTCTGAACTCTCAGTGGGTTACCAGCGGTGACCTCGTCGTGATATAAGATGCACCGCACTGGCGCGGCTGGACTGTCAGATCTTGCCCACGCTTCCATGCAATCGCGCCAGGCGCTGGAGCTCTGCACGAGGTAATCCACGGTGCGCTGGAAATCTAGAATAGGAATGGTGACGGCGCAGTCTGGCATTTGGAGATCTTCTACAAGGCCACGAAGAGGAGCCATAGCCTCTTCAGCATGTGCGTGCCGGATCCCGCTCTCTGACGCGGGGAGATCAGCGATGACGTCTGGTCGCTCTCTGGCAAACTTTAAGATCCGAGCCAGAGCGCAAGATGAAACGCCTCGCAAATGCAAATCCGAAACATCTGCCCTAGGTCGCTTCATGGCATGCAGAGGTCGCAGGACACATGGCGCAGTGATGCCGCGCGCCCCCCGCCGCAGGAGCCGCCGCTCGCGTCACTCGGGTCAATGACGCGAACAGGGGCAGCAGGCATCCAAGGCCGCGGCGAATTGACAAAGCACCCGCGCGGCCAAGGCCGCTGCGAGCGAACTTGCAAAGCACCTGCGCGGCCAAAGCCGCTGCGAATCGACAAAGCACCCGCGCGGCCAAGACCGCTGCGAGTGAGAAAAAAAGGAAGCGCAGAAGCTAGCCGCGCGGCACGAGGCCGCGGCGACAGGTTTTTTTCCTGGAGAAGACGAGGGGTATGCCGAACGGATCTGTGAGCAATCAGGGCGGTTCAGGTGCCCGCTTCCAAAACTGCGGCCATGAACAGACGCGCGCCTAGCTTCAGCTCAGCTGGCTGCGGCTGCGCTTGGGTCGGTCGCGCTTGGGGCAGGCGACGCAGTCGACACCGGAGTCAAAACCGCGGCGGCCTCCTTCAAGCCCTTGGCAGCGTCGCCGGCCGTGTCGTTGGCCTCGAGGCATGCGGTGCGCAGGCTCTGCCAGAGAGGCTCTGTGGGCTCCAAGCGCTCAGCGGAAGACAGCAGCCTGTTGAGCTCGAACGACTTGTCCTGCATTGCTTTCTCAAGCTCTGCCAGCGTTTGCTCGAGCTCACACTCTGGCCCTTTTGCCCGCAAAGCGCGGGCGTGGGCACCGTGCTTTTCGAGCTTGGCGATTGCCGCTTGCAAGCTTTTGCTCCACTTGCCAGAGTGAGCACCGCATCGCCTGGCCGCGCTTCCTTGCGGAGGGTCCAGGCGTCCTGCTCCGACGTGGACACGTAGTCGTGGGAGTCGACGAAGTAGTACTCCGGTTCGTTCGCCGCGCGAAGGGCCTCTGACTTGGCCTCCCTCTGTTGCAACTTGGAGAGCTCCTTGGCCAGGATCTTCTCAGGGGGGTTGCCAAGGGCGGCGCCGACTTGCCAGCGCGACCTCAGTGCATTGACAAAAAAAGTTATCTGATCAGAAACTTATGAGAAACTGCTCACTCGAATGGGCTCGTTTTTTTTTAATATAGAGCGAGACGCCACCAGTGTCCTAAGTGGTTCTCCCCCTCTTCGACTTTGCTGGTGTGCGTCTCTGCGTAGCCGTGCACCCAGTTCAGACCCAGGTTGTTCTCGCGGTAGGTTGCTATGAGCTTTTTCTTTTCTTCTGGGTCTTTAAGCAAGGAAAGGCACTTAGCCGCGGCGCCTTCGGGACCCTCCTTGTTAGTCTGGTAGGCGAGCTTGTTGTGCAAGCTTTTGTAGGTCTCAGGGTCGATGCTGGCTTCCTTCTCGTTTTTCTGCCCTTACCCTTCGCTTTTGCTTTAGGCCTAGCTGCTGGCTTTGCTTTTGGCGTAGTGGGCGCGGCGGAAGCGGCTCGTTTTCCCATGGCTGCGCTAGCTAGGTGGCCGAGGCACGCGAAAGCGGCTCTCCCTACCCTATGTTGGATTGGAGCACGGGCCAAAGTAAATGAATCAGGCCACTATTCAATGGTTTTCCGTGTTATTCCAAAATGAAAAGTTCGAGATCCCTAGGGCACCTTGGTTGACACAGTGAGGTGGTGAAAGAGCAGTAGGTCAAACTGATGCAACCTAATAAACTCATCATCGCTATCAATATCAATATTTTTGCCGCGCAGATGTCTCCGCTGCGGCATCTGCATGCTTCGACTGCGTGTATTTGCAAGCACATGAATCACTTGCAAACAAAGTATATATGACAACTGCCTGATCTAACATAGTAAGATAAATTCTTGAAACCAGATATTGGAGTGCTATCTGATGGATGTGGATGTAAGTCGTACTGCGTGTGTTTGTGATTGAAATGAATCTTGATCATGTGTCGTGCATCCATGCTTATGTCTCTTGCGTTCTGATATGTGTGTGCTGTAAAAAATACAACATGTTCACACATGCTGTAGTGTCTCATTCACAAAATTCATCCTGGAGACTACATAGTCTTTATTTATTTTTTTTACGTGCCTCAAGCTTGAGTATTTCATTAATGGATGTATCTGTGACTCATTTTTGACGCACAGTCTAATATCAAGCTTGCTTGTGTTTCATTGTTCGAAAACGTGCATCTGTTTGCAGCATGTGGATTCACTCGAATGGATTTCCCACATTCACACAATCCACAGTTTATTTTGTTGACGGTGTATTTGATGCCTGTTTTCATATCTTCACATTTTTGTTTAGATTTTTTGCATTGTTCATTGATATGCCCAGATCCTTCAGGATCAGTTTTGTTTAAAGTATTAGCTGCATAACCATATTTTGAAAATATTGTAAAATTTGATAGGGTTGAAGATGTCATACTAGAAACATGTGTTCCAGATTTTTTTGAAAAACTTGATTTGTTAGATTCAGATCTTTGTTTCAGATTTATATAGGCTCTGAATTTGCAGATTTCATATCAGATTCAGATTTTTCAGATTTTCAGAATCTGAAATTTTCAGATTTTTTTTAAGATTCATATTTTTTCAGATTTTTTCAGATTTTTTCAGATTCAGACAAAATCTGAAAAAATCTGAATCTGAAAATTTAAGTAAAGAAAGTGATGAAGATTCAGATTTTCAGAATCTGAAAAAATCTGAAAAATCTGAGTCTGAAAATTATCTGAAAAATTCAGATTCTGAAAAAAATCTGAAAAATCTGAATCTGAAAATAATCTGAAAAATTCAGATTCTTAAAAAATCTGAAAGAAACCTGAATCTGATGTCAAATCTGTAAAATACCGAGCCTGGAAAAATCTGAAAAATGATTTGCATCTGATATCAAATTCAGATTCAACAAAATTGAAAAATATATGATAAACTAGACAGCAAAGATGGTTTTGGAAATATTCAGGCCATCTGAATCTAAAGAAACGGACAGCAATGTTTAAACTTCAACCCCATAGGATGTGACAAAAAGAAAGGACATACTTGAACACATGTAGAATTCACTGAATACATAACAGCTACATAACAGGCAATCTAAATAACCTAATGTTACTCATCGGTCTGAAAAGCTCCAAAGATGATGATACTGAAACATTCATGAGTTGTGTCACCACACAGACACATATTTGATCCGCAAGTCTCATCTGATCTAGAAGGTCTCATGTTTGAAAAAACAGTGAATATAGCCAGTCACAAATCAAAAAAAACCGCTAATTGGCAATAAGTCACAGCAAACCCAAAAAACTAGCCATAAGTTCCATCCACATCCACAGTAATAAGGAACTGATATACAAATGATTGACTGGAACCAACCTTGCAGGATGCATCCATATGTTCATGAACAATGCTCCACAGAAGACAACCAAAACATAAATCCTTCATATCAGCCACAACATCTCCTTTCTCAAACCTGCCATGAATCGCCCTATAAAGAACACTTGTTTGATACGACCATGGACCGAAAGCGAAATAAACAAACATGTACACTCAGTGAGCTAAGGCAATTAGCTTGCCAGCGCCTTTTTTCTCCTCTCCAAAGTCGATGTCCAGGTCCTGCGATGGGCGACACTGCGCACATAGTGACGCGCCTATATGGCGCGCACCGCCCCCCTCCCCCCATACGCCGCTATATGGGCATGTTTTTTTTGCGTAAGTCACAGTGTGGTGGCCCATCGGCTGCCTTGAGTGGACGTCAAAAAAACACACCCATATGCGTTTGCGGCAGCCCAAGGTGCGGCTCCCCGCCGCCATAACCCGATCAGTGACATCGTCTCATGCAGTTATAACTAACTGTCATGCGAGCAAGCTGTTTGCGTTGTTGCGCTGGCTGAGTCTGATCGGGAGCGGCAGCGACGAGAGCCAGCACCAGTCCCCACCTAGTAGCCCCTCAGCCTCCAGCACGAAGGGGTGCATCCCAGCGCGTAGCGGCACCGTCCGCATCCCGCCTGGAACTTGTGCCGGAGCGTCTTGGGCGGAGTCTTGCTGTACTTCACCCGGACCGGCCGCCGCGCAGCGGGCTTCGCCTTAGGCTTTGCCTGGGCCTTCGCCTTAGGCTTTGCCTCGGACTTCGCCTTAGGCTTTACCTGCAGGGCCTTCGCCTTAGGCTTTGCCGGGGCTTTCGCCTTTGCCTGGGCCTTCGGTGCCGCGGGAGCACGTGCCGGGCTGTCCATCCGCGCGGCTGGCCGCTTCATGGCCATGCCGACACGGAGACGCTGCACGGCGTTGACGACGTCGTCAGTGTTCTCCTCAGGCGCCTCCTTGGGTTCCTGCTGCTGCGGCAGCGGCTGCTGCTGCTGCGCCTGCGGGCGAGCCGCCTCTTGAGGCTCAGGAGCCGAGGGAAGCCCAGGTGCCGGGAGCGCCAGCTGCGGGCTGGCCTGCTGCTGCACGACCTCTCGGTCAGCACTGCCGCTGCTGCCACCGAACAGGTCGCCCAGCTGCTGCGCAAGCGCCCCGCCAGCCGACCTCCTCTCCGTGAACTGCAAGTTGCAGGGCTGCGGGCCGCCTTGCATCCCTCGCAGCGCTTGCTGCAGAAGCTGCACAGCCATACTGGCCACGTTGCCTTGCTGCGCGCCATGGCTCACCGGCAAGGTCGGAGAGAAGGCGCGCCGCACACTTGAGTGGCTCTTGCGCAAGGGGACGCGTGTTGCTAAAGCACTCACGGCCGTCGCCCATGCCTCCGTCACGGTGTGGCCCTGCAAGCCAGCTGCTTCCAGAACGGCCGCGTCCAGGTCCGCTGGAGCATCCGGCAGCCTGGTCAGCAGCTGAGGCAGCTGCACAGCGGCTGCAAGCGCCGCCTTCCAGCGCGTCTTCCTGTGGACGCACATGTTGCGGGCAGCCTGCGGATCCAGCTCGGTCATGCCTGCGCGGACACGTATTGGGGACTGGGGACATGTTGTGTGCATGGCTTGCAAGAAAAAAAAGCCTGAAGAACTTTGTAAGCACCCAGATAACTTTGACAAGCAAGAGCCTGGCACGTACATGAGCAGCGCGGTCATGGTTCCCATAGTTTTCTGCGAGGGCAGTCGCAAGCCCAGCCGCAGAGACAGCTGCAGCACGTAGTTCACCTTGTGCGCGAGCGGGACGTGCACAGCCAGCCGGTCCGGGGCCGCGTAGTTGGCCAAGGCCGTGTAGTCCTGGTACACCTGCTGCTGCATGACTGCAGCGAGCTTGAGCTGGAGCGTCCGCGCTGTCATGCATGTGTCACGCATGTCTTGCGCGGGTGCCGCGCGGGCTCACGCCCGCGGCGCCATGCGCAGAGGCGAGACAACAGCGACTCGGCTTCCCTCTTGCATGCTGCGGACTATGCTCGAAAAAAAAAGCTACGTCTGCTAAGAGTATTTTACAACGGGGGTTATAAAGCGTGTGATATCTCCTATAATCCCTAGATAGATTCTGGTAAACCTTAGAAGCGGCTTATAAACCTTATATAGGTTTAACCAATTTATCTCGTTTGCGCTGGAGTTTGGCAGACTTATAACCCAACTTAGCCGAGATACTAAACGTTTATAACCGGGTTAACATTAGCCAGCCGGCTAAGTAAGGCCTTTTTTCCCCCTGCGATCTTCCCCCTTTTCCTTCCTAAGATCTTTTCCCCCCTTTCCTTGTTGAGATCCTTTCCCGCCCTTTCCCCCCTAAGGCGTTTCCCCCCCCAAGATCTTCTCCCTTTTCCTCCCTAAGATCCTTTGCCCCCTTTCCCTGTTGAGATCCTTTCCCCCCTTTCCCCCCTAAGGCCTCCCCCCCCCTGAGATCTTCTCCCTTGTCCTCCCCAAGATCTTTTCCCCCGAGATCTTCTCCCTTTTCCTCCCTAGGATCTTCTCCCACCTTTCCCTGTTGAGCTCCTTTCCCCCTTTCCCCCTAAGGCCTTTTCAGATCTTCTCCCTTTTCCTCCCTAAGATCCTTTGCCCCCTTTCGTTGTTGAGATCCTTTCCCCCTTTCCCCCCTAAGGCCTTGTCCCTGCCTGGGACCTTCTCCCTTTCCTCACTGAGATCTTTCCCCCCCTTTCCCTGTTGAGATCCTTTCCCCTCTTTCCCCCCTACGGCCTTTCCCCCCGCTGAGATCTTCTTCCTATTCCTCCTTAAGATCCTTTGCCCCCTTTCCCTGTTGAGATCCTTTCCCCCCTTCCCTTTAAGGCCTTTCCAGATCTTCTCCCTTTCCTTCCTAAGATTGTTTCCCCCCTTTCCCTGTTGAGATCCTTCCCACCCTTTCCCCCCTCAGGCCTTTTCTTTCCCCTGAGAGCTTCTCCCTTTTCCTTCCTTAGATCTTTCCCCCCTTTCCCTGTTGGCCTTTTTTCTCCCAGATCTTCTCCCTTTCCGCCCTAAGATCTTTTCCACCCCTTTCCCTGTTGAGATCATTTCTCCCCTTTCCCCCCTAAGGCCTTTGTCCCCAGATCTTCCTTTTCCCCCTTTCCCCCCTAAGGCCTTTCCCCCCCCCTGAGAGCTTCTCCCTTTTCCCTCCTAAATCTTTTCCCCCCTTTCCCTGTTGAGCTTTCCCCCCTAAGTCCTTTTCTCCCAGATCTTCTCCCTTTCCTCCCTAAGATCTTCCTTTCCCTGTTGAGATCCTTTCCCCCCTTTCCCTCCCAAGGCAAGATCTTTTCCCCCCTTTCCCTGTTGGCCTTTTTTCCCCAGATCTTCTCCCTTTCCTCCCTAAGATCTGTTCCACCCCTTTCCCTGTTGAGATCATTTCTCCCCTTTCCCCCCTAAGGCCTTTGTCCCCAGATCTTCTCCCTTTCCTCCCTAAGATCTCCCCCCCCCCCCTTTCCCTGCTGAGATCCTTTTCCCCCTTTCCACCCTATGGCCTTTCCCCCCCCTGAGAGCTTCTCCCTTTTCCTTCCTAAATCTTTTCCCCCCTTTCCCTGTTGGGCTTTCCCCCCTAAGTCCTTTTCTCCCAGATCTTCTCCCTTTCCTCCCTAAGATCTTCCCCCCCCCCCTTTCCTCCCTAAGATCTTTCCCACCCTTTCCCTGTTGAGATCCTTTCCCCCCTTTCCCTCCCAAGGCCTTTCCTCCCCTGAGAGCTTCTCGCTTTTCCTTCCTAAGATCTTTTCCCCCCTTTCCCTGTTGGCCTTTTTTCCCCAAATCTTCTCCCTTTCCTCCCTAAGATCTTTTCCACCCCTTTCCCTGTTGAGATCATTTCTCCCCTTTCCCCCCTAAGGCCTTTTTGCCCCAGATCTTCTGCCTTTCCTCCCTAAGATCTTTCCCCCCCCCCCAGTTCCTGTTGAGATCATTTATTTCCCCCCTTTTCCTTCTAAGGCCTTTTCCCACCCTCAGTTCTTCTCCCTTTTCCTCCCAAAGATCTTTCCCCCCCTTTCCTCCCTAAGTCCTTTTCCCTGAGTTCGTCTCCCTTTGCCTCCCTAAGATCTTTTCCCCCCTTTCCCGCTTAAGATCCTTTCCCCCGTTTCCCCCCTAAGGCCTTTTCCCCCCAAGATCTCCACCCTTCTCTTCCCAAAGTCTTTTTCCCCCTTTCCCGATTGAGATCCTGTCCCCCGATTGCCCCTTAGGGCCTGTTCCCCCCGAGAAAGATTTCCCTTTTCCTCCCAAAGATCTTTTCCCCCCTTTCCCCCTTAAGGCATTTTTTCCCCAGATCTTCTCCCTTTCCTCCCTGAGATCTTTCCCCCCCTTTCGCTGTTGAGATCCTTTCCCCCTTTCCCCCCTTCATTTCCTTCACCAGCATGGGCAACATCCCCAGCATCACTTGCATCATCCGCATCCTTGGCAGGCGCTGATGCGGATGATGCAGGTGATGCTGGCGATGTGCCGCTGGAGCTGCTAAGGATGCGAAAGCGCACCCGGGGGGAATCGAACACCCCAATGTTTTTGACCGCGTGGTACGTGGACCCCCCCCCCCGCGCAATAGTCTTAAATGGTGCCTCAAGGAGCATTTTTTGTGTCCAACACGCCGTCCGTTGTCGGCGGATTTCTTGTAGTTTGTGAACTTGACCTAAAATTACTTATTTTTTCAAGAAAACGCCTAAATTGATGAGTTTCTGCACTTTCGGGGAATCAGATGGGGTTTGAAGACAGTCGGGACGCATCCCTTTTTCAGGCGGGATTTTGCCGCGCCAACTTTTGCCCGCGCAACGCCCGCAAAAAACCGCACAACGCCCGCAAAACCCCGCAAACGCCCGCAAATCCCAACATCCATAGCGCGGCCTATGGCGCGGCCAATTCAGCAAACTAGTGGGTGGCTACTTCAACAAATCAGCCTCGGGCGACGCCGAGGCCTCGCCCAAACTTGGAACACAATCCACAAATGCATGGGCCAGTCCCGAGTTCAGTGAGAACCGGGTGGGCTGCAGATTGATAAGGATGTTCAACAGGATGCGCGCGTCAGCAGGTGTCAGTACAAAGGCGCTTGCGGGGAAGGGCGCGAGGGGCAAAAGGAGCATGGCACGACTAGATTTCCTGAAGCTCGCCTAGATTTTCCAAAAACGACGAAGAATCCGTCAGAACGCCTAAACTTCGAAAACGACAAGGAATAAGTACGCAAAGGAATGTCCAGGTTCTTGGGCTTGCGCAAAGTGATGCGCATTCGGGTTCATGGGCTCTGTCTTGTTTTGTTGTTGTTGGTTGTTGTTGCTGTTGTTGTTGTTGTTGTTGTTGTTGTTGTTGTTGTTGTTGTTGTTGTTGTTGTTGTTGTTGTTGTTGTGGTTGTTGTTGTTGTCGTCGTTGTCGTTGTTGTCGTTGTCGTTGATTGTTGTTTGTTGTTTGTTGTTCGTTGCTCGTTGTTCGTTGTTGGTGGCGGTGGTTGTTGTGATTTTGTTGTTTTTGTTGTTGTTGTTGTTGTTGTTGTTGTTGTTGTTGTTGTTGTTGTTGTTGTTGTTGTTGTTGTTGTTGTTGTTGTTGTTGTTGTTGTCGTTGTCGTTGTCGTTGTCGTTGTCGTTGTCGTTGTCGTTGTTGTCGTTGTCGTTGTGGTCGTTGTCGACGTCGTCGTCGTTGTCGTTGTCGTTGTCGTTGTTGTTGCTGTTGCTGTTGCTGTTGGTGTTGCTGCTGTCTGTTGTTGTTGTTGTTGTTGTTGTTGTTGTTGTTGTTGTTGTTGTTGTTGTTGTTGTTGTTGTTGTTGTTGTTGTTGTTGTTGTTATCGTCGGTTGTTGTTGTTGTTGTTGTTGTTGTTGTTGTTGTTGTTGTTGTTGTCGTTGTCGTTGTCGTTGTCGTTGTCGTTGTCGTTGTCGTTGTCGTTGTCGTCGTTGTCGTTGTCGTTGTGGTCGTTGTCGTCGTCGTCGTTGTCGTTGTCGTTGTCGTTGTCGTTGTTGTTGCTGTTGCTGTTGCTGTTGCTGCTGTCTGTTGTTGTTGTTGTTGTTGTTGTGGTTGTTGTTGTGGTTGTTGTTGTTGTTGTTGTTGGAGTTGGTGTCGATGCTGTTGTCGCTGTTGCTGTTGCTGTTGCGGTTGCTGCTGTTGCTGTTGCGGTTGCTGTTGTTGCTGTTGCTGCTGCTGTTGCTAATGTTGCTGTTGTTGCTGTTGTTGCTGTATTGTTGCTGTTGTTGGTGCTGTTGTGGCTGTTGTTGCTGTTGCTGTTGCTGTTGCTGTTGTTGTTGTTGTTGCTGTTGCTGTTGCTCTTGCTCTTGCTGTTGCCGCTGTTGCCGCTGTTGCTGTTGCCGCTGTTGCTGTTGCCGCTGTTGCCTTTGCTGTTGCTGTTGCTGTTGCTGTAGCTGTCACTGTTGCCGCTGTTGGTGTTGGCGGTGTTGATGTTGTTGTTGTTGTTGCTGTTGCTGTTGTTGTTGCTGTTGCTGTTGCTGTTGCTGTTGCTGTGGCTGTTGTTGTCGTTGTCGTTGTTGTTGTCGTTGTTGTTGTTGTTGTTGTTGTTGTTGTTGTTGTTGTTGTTGTTGTCGTTGTCGTTGTCGTTGTCGTTGTCGTTGTTGTTGTCGTTTGTTGCTGTTGTTGTTGCTGTTGCTGTTGCTGTTGGTGTTGCTGTTGCTGTTGCTGTTGTCTCTTGCTGTTGCTGTTGTGGTTGTTGTGGTTGTTGTGGTTGTTGTGGTTGTGGTTGTGGTTGTGGTTGTGGTTGTTGTTGTTGTTGTTGTTGTTGTTGTTGTTGTTGTTGTTGTTGTTGTTGTTGTTGTTGACGTTGTTGTCGTGTTGTTGTTGTTGTTGTTGTTGTTGTTGTTGTTGTTGTTGTTGTTGTTGTTGTCGTTGTTGTGTTGTTGTCTTGTTGCTGTTGCTGTTGCTGTTGCTGTTGCTGTTGCTGTTGCTGTTGCTGTTGCTGT